GGACCACGTGCTATATTTGTCATCCAGGTGTACATATGACTTTGAAAATTCAAGACACTACCGGCTAATGATACAGATGGTGCCATAAATGGTCTCCGTCATGAAGGTCTAAGAGAAATTGCCATCCAAACGGTTAGCGCCTTAGGCTAAAATGAAATATGGGACTAAATATAAATCGACTAGAAGTTAATAAGTACAACCGACATACGTGAAATTGAAAAGCCAACTCATGCTGCTCTTCTGAGCTTCAGCAAGTGCCGACTTTTAAATACTAATGCAAAAAGTTTGACTTTCTAACAGCCACTATTACCACTTAGCCTTGAACAGATAGATATGTCTTCCTATTAGCTCGCAAATATGACTATGAGGCCAAAAATGCATTGGTAAAGAGGGATGCATGACGACGCAGCAAAATGACATAGTAATGCATTATAGTAACGCATGCAGAACATGTTCAACTAGCGTCTTTAGGTGACTTCATAGTTTCTGACGAAACGCCGCAGTAGAGATTACGCATTTTTCGAAAGTTTCGTATGAGAGTAAGGCAGCAGATACCAAAAACTGATCGATGACCTTTACTTTAATATATGCACAACGCGGTTGTTTCTATGCTTGTAGTGCAATTATCGCAAGGTAAGATTTCAGGCGTAATATTCTATTCGTCTCTTAGACATACTTTGAACGTGAAGATGGACAACCAGCGACGAGGGAGCACCTGTTGATGGCTCTTGCTGATCTGGACTCCTTGATGATTCGTGCCAGTCATTGCTATGGTCAACGGGAATCAAGGTTTGTTCAAAAATAGGGTAAACGTGTGTGTAACTGACTCGTGTCTGTTTTTAACTATTAGTTGATTGTTCACGTGCTTTTATTGAAGCGTCATTTTATGTTTTTTTCTCGAAACTTCCATTTTCTGATGCTAGTTGATGGTAGGCATTTGAAAATGAACCGTCCAGCCTGATGTGGCAAGATTATGAGTCTCTACGCTGATGGTGAGATGAGCCAATTCGGCGAAAGATTATGTGGCCTTATTTTGACAGCTGTTTAACTGTTAAATTTGTTGCCTTGTTATCGTCACCTGAAGCTAGCGGAGCTTAAACAGCGGAGTCTCCGAGATTTATGATATCCTACCGTTGGAAATTGAATTTTGGACTGACAGTAGAAAATATTCACTGCTACAGGAAAGTTCGGTTTTTGGCACTCATCCTTTGGAACATGGCGGTCGGCAGAGAGAGAGCGAGTCTTCTATCTTCAAACATAAAATGACACGGTTGTTCCCCCTGCCATCAATTGAACTGCCTACCTCTTGCTTTTCCTGAACTACTGGGGTGCTTGCGATTTTTCAGATGGTGCAACGATGCATATCATTGACCTACCGGTACTAGAACTTAGTGTTGCTGATTTTGCGACAGATCTTTATCCTAATCTTGATTCCTACTATAATATATCTTCGTCAGACGTGAGTGAAATGGGCTTTGAGTTACGGTTGAAACGGGTTCATGTTTTCTTGTGATTTTAATGAGGTTTCTTTATATTACTGCCGCCTGGTTTGCAGTACCTTTCCATGGCTGACTAGCGCCTGAAAATTTTTACTTCTTGACACTTTGCTTCTGACTTGGACTGCTGTCCGTCCTACGCTGTGAAACAAGATTGGATTCTAGAGGCATCCTCATCGATGTCACTTGTTTCTGTTCAGCATATGATGACGTTATCCCCTAAAGTTGCAAATGCGAATATCATACTTTTTGGCATGAGTCTAGTGAAAGAAGCTATAGATGCTCACTTCTGTGAATCTGAAGTAAATATCTTTGATGCTAGATAAATTCAGGATAGCCTTAAATCTGAGACTGAGGTTAGGCCTCCATGCATTAAACCTCTGCGGGGGGGGTAACGTCAATGTTGAATGAAATATCACATTTTGAGTGATATTTCCCTGATTCCTGAGTGAACCTTAACTTTATTTGATCTTGTACAGAGGTCTGATGATTGTCGAATTCCAATGGAACCGCCTGGATTTTCTGCAACAAGCTGACCGCAATCCCGCTATTTATCAAAGCATCGCAGTGAAAGTGAAATATTACAGTGTCCCAATGGCATACCTCAAAGCTACAAAGTCAGAAACTCGAAACGGTTCTTGCAAATTAAAGTCAAGCTACCACCTCATGCCCTCTTCATTGACTAACGTATTATAGATGCGGCGTTTGAATTTGAATAGTGTGAAGTGAGTAGCATAGAAAAGAAAGAAGTTTGTTCGCGCTGTCGCCACCATCAGCTTTATGCTAACCCAACTGATTTGCATAATCAATCAAAGGGCGATATAGTTTCTTATCCTTTGACGCCGGAACACCGGTTTAGTTAAAGTGGCCTGGTGTTGAAATTGTTTTTTGTTGAAAAAAATCCGTTATAATTCTAGGGTTGTTGTGATGTAGAGTTTTTCAGTCTGGGAGACGTTTCGTTGACTATAGCAGTCGATCGTGACACGCAGCAGGAACGCGCCTGGGAAGTTGAACAGTGTCAGTGTCCCCCGGGATATCAAGGACTGTCTTGTGAAGTAAAGCGTTCGGCGGTGTCTTTGTA